AATCCTCAAGTCTCCAACCCCTTCTTGCTCTATAGAAACAAAAGGTAATTCTGCATTTCTTAGTGTCAGTCCCTATCATACTTGGATTGTAGATTCACGTGCCTCTGATCACATGACCGGTGAATCTACTTTGTTCTCTTCATATATTCCATGTGCAGGTAATCAAAAAATAAAAATTGCAGATGGCTCTTTTTCAGCCATTGCGGGTAAAGGGTCAGTTGTGTTGTCTCCAATATTAACTCTTAAAAATTTCCTTCATGTTCCAAACTTATCATGTAATTTAATGTCCGCCAGTAAATTAGCCCAAGATATAAATTGTCAAACTAATTTTTTTCCGATCTCACTGCGTCTTTCAGGATTTGAACTCGGGGAAGATGATTGGCAGTGCTAAGGAGAGTCAAGGACTCTACTACCTTGACATTGGATATGTATCACAACTACCTTTAACAATAAGTTCCTGCTTTGAATCTTTTTTTGTTTAGAATAATAAAGATGACAATATTATGGTATGGCATTTAAGATTAGGTCATCCTAGTTTTCATTAATTAAAACACTTGTTTCCTAAGTTATTTCACAATAAGAATTTTTCTTCGTTTAAATGTGAAGCATGTGAGTTTTCAAAGCATCACCGTTCCCAATTTTCAATACAGCCTTATAAATCATCAAAATTGTTTTCTATTATTCACAGTGATGTTTGGGGCTCTAACCGTACTAGTACTCTCTCTCTCTCTCTCTCTCTCTCTCTCTCTCTCTCTTTAAAAAACTGGTTTATCACATTTATAGATGACCATACAAGAGTATGTTGGGTGTACTTGTTAACGGAAAAATCAGATGTTTGTCAGGCTGTAAAGAATTTTTTTCAATGGTGCTGAACCAATTTCAAACAAATATCCAAGTTTTTAAAAGTGATAATGGCAAAGAATATTTTAACACTATCCTGGATGATTTTTTTCTAAAAAATGGGACTGTACATCAAAGTTCATGTCCTAATACTCCTCAACAAAATGGAGTGGCCAAAAGGAAAAATAGACATTTATTGGAGGTTGCTAGAGCTCTACTTTTTTCGAATAAAGTACGAAATTATTTGTGGGGCGAAGCTGTTTTAACAGCTGCATATTTGATTAAGAGAATGCCCTCCAAGATTCTCAATTTTCAAACTCCAATTAATGTCTTCAAATAATGTTTTCCTAGTACTCGTGTTTTAACTGGTTTGGCTTTAAAAATATTTGGTTGCACAGTTTTTGTTCATGAACATAAAAATGTTGGAAAACTTGAGCCACGTGTTATAAAAGGTGTCTTTGTTGGATACTCCCTAACCCAAAAAGGATATAAATGTTTTGATCCAAAAAACAAGAAAATGTTTGTCACTATAGATGTTACATTTTTTGAAAATAAACCTTTCTTTGATGACACTCATCTTCAAGGGGGGAGATAAAGAAAGACTCGTTTCAAATTGAAGACGTGAGTTTTAAAAAAAATTTATCTTTTCCTGAACCACAAAATTCTGAGACTTTTACATCTGCACCCACAGAAAATGACCATGATTTTGTATCTGATCCTTCTTCTGTTATGAGTAAGGAGCCTTGTGAATCTGAGCCTACATTTTCTATTATATAAAACAATGAGAATTTTGAAAACGATGATAATGATAATCTAATTGAAATGCCACAAAATAATGATTCACTTCAAGAAAACATATTCGAATTAGAAAACAGGACTTGGAAAGGGAAGGTTTTTATGAAAAAGCACCATAAACGAAGGGACGAGTCCACATATCAAAATTGCTAGGAATCTAAACTAGGGAATGATCAACCTCCTAACAAAAGCAAAGATAAGTCTATATTTGTTTCTGAGAGTCGTATTTTGTATTCTGATATAGATGATCTTGTTGCCATTAGAAAACCTGTCAGATCTTGCTCTAAACACCCCATGTCCAATTTTATTTCATATTCAAATTTGTTTTCATCTATGTCTGCCTTCACCTCAAAATTGTCTAATGTAGAAATTCCAGAAAATGTACAAGTCTAGAAATTCCAAAGTGGAGGGAAGCTGTACTTGAGGAGATGAAAGCTTTTGAAAAGAACAAAACTTGGAGTGTTACGTCGCTGCCAGATGGCAAGAAGACAGTTGGATGCAAATGGGTGTTAACGTTAAGTATAATTCATATGGGTCAATTGAAATGTACAAGACTCACTTGGTGGCTAAAGGCTTCACTCAGACCTATGGTATAGACTACTCAGAGACATTTGCTCCTGTTGCAAAATTGAACACTGTAAGAATTCTTTTATCTCTTGTTGCTAACCTGGATTGGCCCCTACATCAGTTAGATGTTAAGAATGTCTTTCTTAATGGTGATCTAGAAGAAGAAGTATATATGGACATTCCTCCTGGTTTTGAAAACAAATTTGGATCAAATCTATGCAAACTAAATAAGTCTTTGTATGGATTAAAGCAGTCTCCCAGAGCTTGGTTTGAAAAATTCACTCAATCCATGAAGAATCAAGGGTACACTCAAGGATATTCTGACCACACCTTATTCACAAAATTCTCCAACGATGGGAAAATTGTTGTTCTGATTGTTTATGTTGATGATATTGTCCTTATTGGAGACGATACAGTGGAAATGGCAAGGGTAAAAGAGAAATTGACAGTAAACTTTAAAATCAAGGACTTGGTGTTCATGAGATATTTTCTAGGCATGAAGGTTGCTCGTTCAAAGAATGATATTGTGGTTTCACAACAAAAATACATTCTAGACTTATTGAAAGAAACAAGAATGAGTAGATATCGTCCTTCAGATACCCCTATGGATCCTAATGCTAAACTTTAGGGAGAAGGTAATGTTCCTGTTGATACTGGAAGATAACAGAGATTGGTTGGGAAACTGATATATTTGTCACACATCCAACCTAATATTGCTTTCTCAGTTAGTGTAGTGAGTCAGTTTATGCATTCTCCTTTCGAGGAACATCTTGAGGCAGTCTATAGGGTACTGAAATATTTGAAGGGAAATCTTGGAAAAAGATTATTTTTTTTAAGAAGACTAGTGAAAGGAATGTGTCTATCTTCACCGATGCTGATTGGTTAGGTTCAATCACCGATAGAAGATCAACCTCTGGATATTGTACCTATGTTTAGGGTAATCTTGTGACAGAGGAATAAGAAACAAGGCGTTGTAGCAATGAGTAGTGCAGGAGCTGAGTTTAGAACTATGTCTCAAGGTATTTGTGAAGGATTATGGATCCTTAGAATCTTAGAAGAACTTAAGATGAAAGTTGAGCTTCCATTGAAATTATACTCTGACAGTAAAGCTGCTATTAGCATGGCTCATAATCCAGTTCAACATGACAGAACCAAGCATATTGAGATTGATCGACACTTCATAAAGGAGAAGTTAGACGCTGGAATTATATCCTGACCAAAATTTTGGCAAGACCTACCTTTAAGCATTTGATAGACAAGTTGGGCATGATAGATATCTATGCACCAACTTGAGGGGGGTGTTGGAAAATATTTTTTTTTCTTATTTAATTGTTTACATTTATTTTCTTTTATTCTTTATTAAGGAGAAAATTAAGTATTTTTATTGTATTCTCATTATATAAACCAGCCTTTGGCTGAAAAATAAAATTACAACAACTTTTACCTATTTCTTCCAATAGTGAGGCAGAGATGATGATGTTATGTTGGATGTGTGGTAAGACAAGACATGATAAAATTAGAAATGACAATATTAGGGGTAACATCTAGAGTAAAAAAATGGTAGAAAATAGACTTATGTGATTTGGACATGCAAAGAGAAGACATGTAGATTTTGTGGTAAAAAGAGCATATCAGATAAAAAGAAGTCAAAGAGGTGGAGCTAGATGAAGATTTAAAAAAATTAAAAGAGAAGTTATTTAGAAAAATCTCGAAATTATCTGTTTGCATATAAAGTAAGATCTATAAAGTAAGATCGTAGTTAGAATATTATGGCGGAAATTGATTAGTGTACTCGAACTCATTTAGTCGAATAGGTTGAGTTCAACCTAACCAACTCAACTTTTTTAAAAAAATAAAACCAATCCAAACTAAACTCAAATTGATTTAATTTAGGTTTATGATTGCACCTAATGAACTGGTTCCGTTTTTAAAAACAAAACTTTCATTTTTGTAAACGCAATTTAAGACTTTTTGTGTTGAATCAGCAAGTATTTCAATTTAGTTCAAGTGCTAAACTTTTAAATTAAGAAATTTGGGGGGAAAAAAGACAACCCCGGGAACATCTATGAATGAGTCATAACACATATTTGAAGCAGAGATCTAGTTTACAGCCATGGCTTACTGTGGTTGAGTTTGTACCACCCCCAACATTTGTTTGACAAAATGCGTGACTGAAATTTTATGCTTTATATGAAATGCTTTTGTATCAATGTCAATCCTTACGTGATGCCAATGGATCATGCAGTCACCTATAGAGAAATTTTACTGTTTCACTAAGAGTTTTGAGTAGAAATGATAACTTTATGTTCAACAATTACAGACTATGGTTAAGTTAGACGTAGTCATCAAGATTCGGACTAATATTCACAATGCCGATAGTCAATATTGTTAAGTTAGATGTCATCACCTGAGTTCGATCCATGTTACTCACAATGCGTTTGTGAGTTTCTAGTGGTTATTGCCACAATATTTGCCGATTAAAAAAACACACTTACAAACTACAATCCTAATAGGAAGTGAAAATTTCCTACTCTTCAACATCTACAAGGGTCCTTCAGGCAAGAAAAAAAAATCCTACAATAAAGATTGATACATAGTTTGTTTACAATGCCTGATTCAATACCATCCATCTAAAGTCTAATCCTATGTTAAGTGTCTCCCAAGTTCTAGCGAAATACTTCAAGGAATCCTAAACTTGGCCTCTAGAACTATTTAATCATGGATCTATTATGAGAAACATTGCTGAAGAGTCACTAATGTACAAGTAACTATTTGAGGGATAGTGCCTGCTGCAGAGACTAACAATAAAACATTACTCTCTTTACATTTTCTTTCAAGGCTGGCAATGGCTTGACACCGCAATCTCCGGCCGCACGTGTTGTCTTCGAACCACGACCACCCGTGGAGCCGGTTTCCTGTAGGTCTGGCTCCGTGTAGAAACGCGCTCGAAAAGCTGCTAAATGTGCATAATATGCTGGAGGGACTGCACAACAAAACCAAAAGATCGACTAACTTTTGCATTTTCGGGTGCAAGATGGAAACTCAATAAAAAACAAACATATTATGCTTACCAACAGATACGGAGCGTGTACACCTAGCATATGTATAACAGAGATTGTTTGTCAAAGACTGAATTCCATCTGCAGTGAAGTTGTTTTCATCCCATAGAACGTGATAGTGCGCTGGACGACTTGTACCCTGCGTGTGTCGTAATAGAACGTCAAAAGCCATAGTTGAGGAAAATCTATATTTAGGTTTAGATTTATATGATGTGGAAGCTGTCTACTTTGGCTTCAACATGCTTCCAACTGAAGGCATGTCTCAACTTCTCGAATTTTTACAAGTGTCAGTGTCAAGTCCGGTGCCAGTGTTTCATAGATAACTAGAAGCTAGAAATAAGTAAAGTAGATTTTAAGTATCACCGTTAGCTTATCTTTTACCTGAATGCCGGCGTGACTGCAAAGATAAAAATCAAACTCGGTTGGATGACAGATTTTTGTATCAACAACAGTTCCTGAAAGCATATCAAAATCAGAAAAATATCAATCGTAATATTCAAATAAAGAGAACAACTCATAAATTTATTTGCGTGTATAACCATTTCAAGAACATTCAACATACCAGGCAGTATATTTCCACTCCTATCTGTACTGTTCCTATCCCTGTGGTTGTTTGCGAATAACCGAGTATGATGTCTTTTTTGTACAACTATGAAAGTTACCGGAGGTTGATAGTTTGGCTCCAAAGAAGCACACGCCTTTATAAAAAGCTTATATGTTAATATAGGAAAAACTACAACAAACAATTACAGTAAGAGTGAGTAAACAGTTCTAACCTTCCGAATCGCATCCAACTCGTATAGTAGAACTTGGTAAAACTGTCCTTCACTTACACCATCCCTGCACAATTAGTAGTCCAATTAGATTTCATCATTTAGATATAAAATCATATTATTTTCTAAAATACATATAAATTAAGATACAGACCTATAAAATATAATCCTTTGCGGCTTCTGTCCCGTTGCCCTTCTAAACGAAACCAACAAATCTCTGCAAAAATAGGACATGAAGTTTAAAATGGTATTACTAAAATCTTAGAACTAACATTCATATAAACAACAAAGAACAACAATGGGAATTACAAAAGTTGAAGATTACCGGATCATGCCACCACTAACTACGCCACGAACAGGATCGTGCCAAGTTTTGTACAAATCTTGTATAAGTTCTTGTCTTTGAGGTTGAGCACAAACTAAACCTGCGTACTTTGTAACTTCAGGCCAATCTTGTGACGCTACTACCTAAAGATTCATCAATATATATTAACGATCAAAACCTTTGATAACCATTGCAATATCTAAAATCGAGACAAATAGATTATATAAAAAGTAAACCGTACAGCTGCTATTGAGGGGCTGGAGTCTTCCCCGTTTTCAGGGTGAGTAACATCTGCTCCAAATATTATTGTTGGTATGTCACTAACCAACGGTATTCTGCAGCTTACGGCATCAACAAGAACAGTGTTTCTACCGCCCATCTGCATCAAGAAGACGGAAAATGATCACTAACTAGCTGTTGGAACTTAGAATCATTTTAGAGCAGTTAGAGTTCTAACATCATAATGTAATTGAGATTTGAGAGCAAACAAACCTTAACGTTGATTTTCAGAGACACGTTAGCCAAGTACTGTTTCGTGATTTTGAAGACATGCTTTGTTAAACAACATTGAGAAATTAAACCAAGGTCAGTCTCACAAATACGCTTGAGATCACCTGAAAATAAAAGGAATCAACACAAAATCATGAATATTAAGAATTTGAACAGTACATTGTCATTCAGTCAAATTAAGCAAATAGCAAGCTTTGAGTGTTCAAAATTCTTATCCTCCGGAGACAGTTGTAAAATAGTTATTTTCATGTTCCTCGTTTTCACAACAATGTTGTACATGTATTTCAACCAATATGGCTTACCATAGAGAGAACCATTGTTGTCGGGCAATATTACTAACAAAAGCTCCAACTCCTTTCCTTTGGTTTTGTTTGACGATACATGGTAAACATGCTTCAAAGCTTTCTCCACTTGCTCGGGTTTTGCATTGTAGATCGGAATAACAGGGTCTAGATTAAATTCCTAAAACAAAAAAACATTATGAATCAGAGTAAAATTTTGGTTATACTTCAAACACAATGAGTCGAAAGGATGGGGAACTTTACCATGCCAGATACTTGACACATTTGCGCAAGCTCGTTACAAAACGTACGGGCCACACTATCTTGCACACTTCTTGAAAAATTTATGCATGCCCAGCGGCTAACCGTCATTCCATTAATCATTTTCTGCATCATTCAAGTATTTGGAGACAAACATACGAGCATTAATAGCCATCATACGAAACTCCACGTCAAACAAGAAAAGCACATGCATTGGAATTTCATAAAAATTTACAAAATCGGAAACTATTTGATGCCATTGAAATGATAGCTGTAATATCAATTTGCAATTTGTAATACCTTGTTCATCATATTCCACTGGCCAACTTGGGGTAAACAATTTTTTTCTTTGCCACTCTCGTGATATTTAAGCTGCAAACAAATCAATTTAGATGAATAATTATGAGAAAAAAAATCAATTACATTTTAGGCATCAAATGTCGCTTGGAGAAGCACATTACCCAAGGAGCAGGGAGAATTCGTGCTTCTACAGAAGCTAACTTCTCACTGACTTTAATCCCAAATTCCTTTGCATAAGGATCTTGATCATAAGCGTTATGCTGAACCGTCTGTTGTATGCAAAATTGGATTATTAATATGAAGGTTCGACGTTATTGATTAATATTTGATAAAAGTTAATCAAATGCGAACATAACTATTTACCCGCAAGATGTCATTTTCTCGATCACGGGGTCTCTGGCATGTGACTTTCAATAGTGAGGTAATTTGCTTTTCATTCAACCTTTTAGTATATCGTTGCCCCTCGACGATTTTGCAGGCCTGAGGAACCAGAAGCATTTAAGAAAAATCAATATAATTATGAGCAAGTATTGCAGTAACATCAATGCATGAAATTTTCATTACCTCCATAGGTAAATAGTTTGCTTTCTTTTGATTTCCACCAACTTGAAGGCAAGGTAGGTGTGTATGCTTAATAGTGAAACCGTACATCTCTTGGAAGTATTCAACCACGGATTTCATAGTTGAGTTCTCATCAACGGGAAACCTAAAAGAAATACATTTGTGGAAAATCATTAGAACTTTACTGAACTCGATGTATAGCAATATATAGTTACAAGACTAGAAAGAAATTCTACTTACACAAGTTCTCTTGTTGGTTGAGAAGTTATACCAGAAACACGATACTTTCGTCTAACACTCCCTCTATGTGTCACTTCAACTTTAACTCCTCTAAGGGATTTCTTAATCTGTTAAACATGTTAAAGTAGCTTTGTTATAAAAAAATCTTATACACAAGCACTTAAATACTAAGTGCTTATAGCCTTCATTAAGATGTTTATCCAAACATGACCTAAATTTAGAGTTAAGACAATGGAAAATGAGCTAATCAAGATTTTTGACAGTAAATCAAGTACCTTGATGCGATCTGCATCAGACAACTGCCTTGACAAAACATCTTTTCCTAATAGCTGGCCAACAAATTCCACCACCGGAAGGGGTTCAATGAACGCAGCAGAAGCCATGTCTACAGAATGCAACAAAAGAATGTAGGATGAATGAAAGGTTAAACTACATTTAGATTAGCGAACGAAATAGGTAAAAAAATAATAACATACCAATATTGAGGGAAAGGCCCATCTGAGTAGGTCTTATGCTTTGGTAAAATCCACACCATGACTCCAATCCTTCTCCGAGTCGTTGTGGTGTTCTAATATCAGATGAATAAAACGACCTCCCAATTGGACAAAACCTTTAAAAAGTGCAGTTTCGTTAGAAAAAAACAAGAATTGTAAGCTTCAGTATTTCACAGTTATAATTGATAACTATTTTGTACAAGTACCTCTTGGATGCTAGCTCTCTTAGTACAATGTCAAGAATTTGTATCGCTTCCTGTGGAGCATCTGCGCGCTTTCCGGCCAGAAACTGTCCCAAGTGATGCAAGTTAGCCCTTGCAACAAACTTGATCACCACTTTGTATTCTCTTTCCCTCCTGAATTATGTCGAGTATCAGTTGAAATTTGACTTAGTTCAAACAAATTATATATATCTAATCCTATGCAGCACCGACACTTTAGATTGAAAACATGTTCGCGTCCGACACCAACAAGACACATGTGCAATTAATCTTACTTGGGGCCATTAATTCCATCCTCTTCTTCTATGAGCTTAATCTTAAACTCTCTCCATGAAAAGGGAAGAACCCCTGCTGTGTAGAGACTTTTCCTGCCATCATATGCTGGAAGCCTCGTGCCAAGGTCTGATTCTTTATACAGCCTCACAAGTTCTGCTATAATGGATCTGTTAACTGCTTTGGAAGACACTTCCGGTGTAATAGTTACCTATAAAATACAGCAAAAATAAATGGTATTAAAATTAAAGTATAGGGAGCAACAATAAGAACAAAGCCTTGGAGAAATGATTTTGGTGCAATCAAATTTAGACAACTTCTGTGACAGTTTTTTAATGGTTAACACAGTTCATATAGGTGGTTAATTACATTTAGTAGATGATTAACAAATATATCGCGTGTAGAACATCATTAACCACAAACATGGATGTGGTTAACCATAACTTTCAGGGATAATCACGTCTAAATTTGTGGTTAATGCAGCTACTTCAATGATTAATGACTAATAAGTTTGACATCTGTTATATCCAATAAACATCAAGCAAACGCAACTAAACACATAAAAATTTGTGGAAATATTATTTAAATTATGTAGTTGGAATAACACAAATAAAGTCTTTAGGCAAAAGTTAAGAACTCATAAATGGTACTAAAGAATAAGGACGGCTAAAACATAAGCTCGTTCAATTCACTCTGCAATTGGACAGAACACATAAAAGGAAAATAATGCATAAACTTAAATGCTTCCATAAAGGGCTATGTATGAGTCACTAAGAAAACCAAACTGTATTGTTTTTGCATAAACCTAAAACTAGACTGATAAAGACATGTTCCGGTAAGTCAGCTCAGTCGATAGATGTGCAGGGACAGACTGCAAAGATGCTGGTTCGAACACGCGACATCCCACTTAGAGGTGAAATTCCGACCATTAAGATACTAGACCAAAAAAATAAGACCAACTAAAGAAACTTACATCATACTGATTCAAGTCCTTGTCTGGCAATTCTGCAAAGAAGTGGTTAGCTTTAACAATGCATTTTGTACCAACTTGTCCAAAACCAGGCCTTTGAGCAAAACTCAAAGACTTGCTTGAAGTAGGAAAACTCATCTCTACATCACTAGAGATTACGTTTCCATTTTGAACAACATGACCATTTTCATTACTTTTCACAGCAGTACAAGGCCTACAACTCGGTCTCATCAAAACATCAACTTGATCAGCTTTTCTTCCATTTCTACTCCTTCTTCTTCCACCACCACTCCTTCCTTGAGGTGGTGAAGTTTGGTTAAGCAGATCTTGTGACAACAATGGTGGACCTTTACCATTTTGAACAGCTTTAGTAACCTTCTTAGCCTGATTCATAGTGTTTGGAAGATGAGGTTTGATCACAAGGTGTTGTTCTGAACTCTCTTTCATTTGCCTCAGAGGCATGTTGAATTGTTGCTGAGTTCTTGCAGAAATATAGATATATAGATAGTGATATTCACAGCAATCAAAGGTGACAAGAAGTTTCAGCAAATAACCAGTTTTTCACGTTTAGTTTTTGCCTATAACTGCAAAATAGTGAAAATGACTTCAGCTGAGAATACATAAACAAAGTTGGAAATTATAGGTGAGAGGACAAATAGAAGTTATTATTGCTATAAAGTGAAAAAGCAAAACTCAATTATGAGTTGTTGAGCTTATAAATTATAATGAATCAATGCATAAAGATAAAACTGGTATGGCGTGAAAGTGTAAAGTAAAGGAAACTGTTTAAGAATACAAAAAATGAAAGAAAAAAAACATTACTATTCCTTTGCAAAAACTGAAAATCCAACAAGTTACCATTTTTTCAGCAAGCAAACCCAAAAATGGTGTCAGAGATTGAACTTGAACAATGAAGCTAACTAAATAAGATAAAACAACAAAAAAAATCAAATTTTGATGACATTTTCTCATACCCTTTTGATTGAAGTTTCAAAGAACCAGAAAACAAGGAAATCTCAATGTGAATTTAAAGTTCAAAATCATGGCTTTATTTGACACCGACATGAAATATCATAACCAACAAAACATAAACTAAAAAAAAAACATTTTAAATATAGTACTTGTGATTTGATGAAGAAAGTAATTGAAAATAAAATGTAATGGAAAAAAAAACCCAGAAAACAAAACCAGCTTCTTAGGCCTGTCCCCTACCAAAGAATGAAAAATCAATAAACACTACATAGCCACATAAATAAATATTAAAATTTGGAATTTAAATAAATAAATAAATAGAAGGCGAGTTTGAAGAGAATAAAACAACCACAAGAAAACAAAAATCAAGAACAAAACATCCTTAGTGAAGGAATAAACATTGAAAAGGGTAGCAAAATTACTGTCTACTACTAGTAGAAGATATGTAGACAGAAAAATAAAATTCAAAAATCAAAAAATTTAAATTAAAAAAAAAAAGAATTAATGCTAAGGCTAGAGAGTAGAAAAATGCTATCTTTATTAAATGCCTTGAAGTGTAAACAATGTCAAAAAACAGAAAAATGAAAACTCACCAACCAACCAATAATCTAACTCACTCACTCACTCACCTATAGCGTATTACATGAAAACGGAAAAAGAGAAAGAAAAAAAAACTTGAACTTACCCTTGTGCTTCTATCTAGCTAGGAAACTAGGGAACACATGTGAAAGCAATGAGAGAGTGAAAATGGAAGATGGGTGATGAGCAAAGAAATAAAAATGGAGTCTTTTTGAAGGATTTTAGAAGGTGAAAAAAATAATATAAAAAAAAAGTGAAGATGAGAAAGGAAGATGATGATGTTGATGAATCTTATACACGCATGCAAAAGAGCTTTTGGTGTTTTCTTTATCACGTGTAAAAGGCTTTGCCTCTGTCTCTCACTTTGCTTTTTTGAGTAGTTGCTCCCTATGATGGTTTGGTTTTTAACTCTTATATTTATGCAAAAACAAAAGAGAGAAAAGAACAAGAAAATAAAATGGAAAATTGAAAATTTATTATGAGAGAGAAAGAGAGTGAGTGAGTCCAAAAGAGGTACTGAGGATTATAAAAGCAATCATACAAGGAAGAAGAATAATTCGAACTTGCAGTCATCTCTATTGCAGGCTTCTGCTATTTGTGTTTTCTTTCTCATGATAATAAAACTCTCAATTTTTGTTATATACACCAAAATTTAATTTAAATTTTAAAAACTAGATATCATCTGCGTGTAACGTATTAGATTATTTCCTTGAACCGAAATAATCATAATGGATGATTACGCAGATATTAATGTCTCAATCGAGAGAGAATCATAATAGATGGTCATTTTAAGACTAATTTCTCGAGTCGAAAGAACCAGAATAAATCATTGTGTAAAGATTAATTTCTTAAAACTTGAGTCAAAAGAAAATTACAATGACCGTTGAATAAAGATTAATCTTTCAAATGATTAATCTTTCAAATTGGGAGTACCACAATAGACCACTGCACATAAACTAATTCTTTGAAATCAAAATCGGGAGGATCACAATAAACCATTGCACATAGACTAATTCTTTGAGACGAAATATTATCTCACATTAATATGTTAAAGTGTTCACTTGCATGTTAAAGTGTTCACTTACAGATTTAAAAAGACTAAATTACCTCTTTTATTTGAAAAAAAAAAATCACACATCAGATAAAATATATGTCTTGAATGTGTTTATAATTTTGGAAAATTCTCACCTTACATGCCTATTTTATAGGGTTGAATTAGACAAATTCATATATTCTAAAATGTGCTTAGTATAATAATTTCACTGTTCCCTATGCATATGTTCCAAGAATCCTTTTTTTTTTATGGTCTTGTTCAAGTGTTCACTTGCCCATGATCCATATTTTCCTTGTGTTTGGGTAAGGTTACCCTCGTAACGGTCGATTCAATTTGGGTCCACTTTTCCAGTCATATAACACACCTTTTTGGGAATGATTCAGTGCTTCTCGGTGTACCTGATGAGTGGTGGGCCAGAATGTTGATGGAATTGGATTGGTGAATCTTGATCATGATTATGTATGAGTTTGATGGATGTGGAGGTGCAGTGGGGTTACGGTGGATCGTAATCATTGGATTATAGTATGTGTGTGAGGGACAAAATCTGAGGTAGTGATTGTTTATGATGATATCCTGAGACCGTAAGAGGTTAGTTGGGTTCCAGTCCACAATGATATCTAAGGTGGAAAATGAAGTGTGTGGGATTGGATGAGATCAAACCATACTCGATTGTAATTTGGATTGTTGCATATTGAAATACTACTCCTACTATTTTTTTTTACTAACTATCATTACTTGTTGACTCCAAGGGTACCCACATAATGTGTGATGCACTCTACCTATCATGATCCTCACTTCTCTTTGAATAGTTTATTAAGGCAAATTTTATTTTATTTTAGAATAGTGAGACATACACCTCTAAATTAATTATTTCATGATTCTTTCAAATATAGAATTAAACATACACTAATTTTGTTGACATTTTTTATCTCATAACTTGGAATCAATTAGAACACTTGTCAATGTATAAATGCAATAAGAACAAAATTTATTGAATTATAATAATCAATACTCACCAAACTACATGAATAAGGTAAGAAATAAGGAGTTTAAGGATTTAGATAGAAATACAAAATTTAAATTGAAATATTCTAGTAGTAAAATCATTAGATTGAGACATGACCTTCTTTTTTTTTTATAGAGAAAGGCATTAAATTAGATAATTATGTTTTTAATTTTTACAAAAGCTCATAATATAAATGTGGTTATAATGTTCTAGCGAAGAAAACTATGTCACAATTTGTAGATAATAAATATTTTATTAGAATATTTGAGCCGAAGAAAATTAAGAATGCAATGTACGATATGGATGGTAATTTTGCTCTAGACTCTAATGATTTTGGAGGATGTTTTTTTCACGTTTATTAGGATATATTAGGGATTGGTTTGATTACTTTAGTGAATTAATTCTTTGAACAAGGTTGGATCCTTACTAATTTCGATTTAGTCAATATGACTTTGATATCTAAACTACATAGAGTAGATTTTATAAAGAAGTATAAACCTCTTGTACTTGTAAATTTTCAATTCAAAATCGTCACTAAGATTATTAAAGACAAGTTGGTCATCCTAGCTCCTACTAAAAGTGTTTTAGAACACCAAAGGTGTTAGACGATATGCTTCGATCTAGAGGGAGGGTGAATAGATCACAAATTTTACAATCAAAATTTTTTGGCAAAAATCTGTTTTTAAAATATGGTGCAGCGGAAAAACGACCCGGATCGAATCGTATAACCGAACTCACTATCGAAAAGTAATGCACGTATTACAAATCGAACAGAGTGATAACAAATGTAAATGTTCAACAATGATCAAGCTAAGAGTCAATTAAATGCAATGATAATCATAGCTCGTATATACAATGAACCAAAACGCAATCAGTTGAAACTCCCTCTGCCCACTCTCCTTTTTCTTCTCAACCTCCCTGCACGTTTGAGGGAGTTACCAAACCCTTGGAGCCTTTATATATAAGAGTTTTATGGACATTTGAAGACATTCAAGTTGTGCGGAAGCGTTGTTAAAATTACTTAAAGTCTTAGGCAGAGAAAAATATTTGTAAAAGTGACAATAACTCACATCGAGGGATTGTCACGCAAATTCTGTTTTCTTTCTCATTAAGAGATACTAAATAAATTCTGTTTTGGTTTTAGTTTCCAAGTGTATGTCTTATTGTTTTGTCACGAGAGTGAAAAGAAAACTAAGGTTCGAGCCGATAGCGCGAGAGTGTGAGGATTGAACCGGATAGTGGAAACTAGGCATTGATCCTAAAAACAGCTAGAGCACTTTAGGTATCGATTAGATCTAATTGATTTTCAAAACATGCTTTCTAATTAAAATGGGCAAGCGAGAGCAAAATCTCATGGTTATGGAGTGTGGCTCGGTCAATAGCGCAAGAGTGTGAGGCGGAGTCTTTAAACCAATATTTTCTACGGAACGTAGTTTAATTATAATTAGCACTTAAAATGTACATAGTCCTTTAGGAACACGCAATTCATATTCCGGGCTCTTTTTCTGATAATTTCCAAACCTTTAGTTAATTATGTTGTTATTCTCGTCCAAACCTTTTTATCTTTAGTCTTAGCTTTACACATCATCAATCGATAACGGTAGATTGATTATTAGTCTCTATAGGTTCAATATCTTTTAAAACTACGCGATAGACTGTATACTTGCAGTTAGATTTCGTTAGACCCGTAAAGTCGCGATCAAGTTGTTGGCGCCGTTGTCGGGGACTAATTTAGTCAATATTGTGATTCGGTTGTTGCGCAATATAGACTAAGGCAACAAATTTTTCCTTTTTCCTATTTCGTCGATTGTATGCCAAACACTCGCTCTCAAGGCGACAAGTTAAAGCAGC